TGGAACAGCAGGGCAGTGCACCACATGCACTTTGCAGAAGGGATCGTAGTGTTTATTGATTCTCAGAGCAAGAAGTGGAAGTGGGTGAGAGCCGAGCTCCCAAGCTACAGGCAAGCCAAGGAAGGGGGGAAGGGTGAGATGAGAATGTGGTACCAGGAAGCACAGAGCTTAGGGACTTAGCCTCTCCCAGACATGGTCTCTGGTGCTCTGGTCTGGAAGATAGAACAGGGGCAGCCGAGAAAGAAGAGACTCTTAATACAAGGACAAGGAGGCTGAAATAGCAAAGAGGCAGATAAGGAGCATGAAGAAAGGAAAAAACCGTCCCACACTGGGAGCTGTCGAAAAGCAAAGGGGCTGCATCAAGAGCTAGGAGGATCCTCCTTTCTAGAAGTCTTGGATGAGCAAATGAAGAGTTTTATTATGTGCCGGACACTGCCAAGTGCTGGGGAAACAACCAGCAAAAAAGACAGTCCCTGCCCCCAAAGGAGTTTTTTGTTTCTTTGTGGGTTTTTTTTTTTTTTGGTTTTGTGTGTGTGTGTTTTGTTTTGGTTTTTTGTGAGGCAACTGGGGTTAAGTGACTTGCCTAGGGTCACACAGTTAGGCAGCATCAAGTGTCTGAGGTCAGTCAGTTTTGAACTCAGGTCCTTCTGACTCCAGGACGGGTGCTCTATCCACTGCACCACCTAGCTGCCCCCAGAGTTATGTTCTAATAGGAGAAGACAATCTACATAAAGCAAAGATGAGACACGCACTTTGGGGAGAGGGTTTAGAGGGGATTCTCGCTCCGGGACGCACATTAGGTGGCCTCCATGCTCTGTTCTGCCTCTCTGGTTCCAGGATATGCTTTATCCCTCCAAGCCAATTACTAACTATCTTGAACTACGATATCTATTTGCCTTCAATCTCCAGCCCTAATGACCTAGGAAAGAGTCCTGCACACAAGTAGGCACTTGGTCTCAGGCAGTGGAAAGGCCACAGAATGGTTTTGGTTTCTAAGCCGCTATTTCCTTCAGGCCAGCCTCTGGTCATCCCCAAGTACCTATGTTTGGGCCCAGGTCCATTCCAATGCCGCTGTTGCTTACTCCTCTTCAGCCTTATTCCTCTGAGTCAGTACTGAAATGCTATTCATCCTTCAAGGAGAAGGTCAGAATCTCTTTCTCCTCACAATGGTCAATCCTTTGTATCTGAAACACATACTTTATATTTTTTTAATATTTGGCCTTATTCTTTCCCCAACAAGAATGTGAGCCCCTTAAAACAGGAAAGACTACCCAACGATACCACTATTAGCCTATGGCCCCAAAGAGAGGTTCAAAAAAGAGGAAAAGGGCCCATATGGACAAAAATATTCATAGCAGCAGTTTTTTGGAGGTAGTAGATAACGAGGAAGAGAGTATGTCCATGATTTGGGGAATGGCTGAATATATAAATGTAATGGAATATTTTATACCATAAGAAATGACAGATGCAGAGAAACCAGGGAAGCCTTCAATGAACTGATGTGAAGTGGAGTGAGCAGAACCAGGAGAATGATTTCCCCAGGAACAGCCCTATTGTAAAGGAAGACAACCGTGAAACACTTCAGAACTCTGATCAATGAATGTACAGCTCCTGAGGACCAGTGAGGAAGCCAGCTGCCCACCTACTGACAGATGGATGAGACACATAGCTTCACACAGGCTAACATGTGTTTGTTGTGCTTGAGCATTAAGATGATTTGTTACAAGAGGGGGTTTTCGGTTTTTTGAGGGAGGATGGAGGAAAGAGGAAATGATGATAGTGGTACAAAAAAAAAGTGAATGAAACTTTCTTAAAAGTACACAAAAGAGAACATGAAGAGGTTCCGAGTGAAAAACAGACCAGAGCAAGTCAAGTCAAAAAGCATTCATTAAGCACCCACTATATACCAGGGACTGTGCTAAGCTCCGGAGAGTTGTACAACTCATATGCTGAATTTAGTATACACTTAAAAACAAAACAAAGCAAAACAAGCCGTCCATAGCAGAGATCCCCTGCTTCACACCGAGGCCTCTTGGGACATGGAAATGTTCATGCTTGGTGGTGGGTGTCAAGTTTAGAATAAGAAAGACTAATCTAAAAAAAAAAAAGATCAGGGTTGGCTCCCCCTCCACCTGTGTACTCCTCAGGTCTCCTCATGGAGTCTTGCATATAGCAGAAGATATGGCGAGACCCTCGGTTTCTTTAACTGACCCTAGGGAGGGGATGGCTCAGGGCTGAAAGCGGTTAGATGGACCCACAGAATCACAGACACTCAGAGGACCTCAGAGGTCCTCTGCTCCAACCGATACCCAAGCAAGCAGCCCCACTTTTACATTCCACAAGCATTTATTAAGCACTTACTGTATGCCTGGTTCTGTGCTGTGAACTGGGGATACAAAGGCAAACTGATAAACAATCCTGCTCTTGAGGAACTGACAGTCTCTTGGAGGGAGAAACAATGTCTGTGTAAATAATGAAAGACAAATGATATGTAAAGTAATTTGGGGGATTGAAGGGAAGGAAGGATGCTAGTAACTGGTAGGCGGGGAAGATCAGGGAACATGATTATGCAGCCTCTGTTTGAAGACCTACAGTACGGGGTGGGGGGGGGTGGGAAAGCCCATCACTCTCTCTCCTCTCTTTTTCTTTCTCCCTTCCTCCCTCTTCCCTTCCTTTCTCTCTTTTCCTCTCCCTCTCTCCTCCCTTCTCTCCTCTTTCTCTTCCTCCCTCCTTCCTCTCTCCTTCCTTCCCTCTCTCTTCCTCCTCTCTCCCTCCCTCCATCTCTCTTCTCTTCTTCCCTCTTCCTTCCTTCTCTCTCTCTCTGTGTCTCTGTCTCTTTCTCCTCTCTCTCTCACTCCCTCCCCTATTAATTGGACTGCTTTGTTTTCTTTTGATTCACAGAACCTAGCAAAATGACTTGCATGTAGGAGGTGCTTAGGCAATCAAACTGAATTCTTTGGGACATTGCAGGAATGATTCTTCTTCGGGTATAGTCAATTAGGATTCTGTGGCTTCTGAAGTGCCTTTTAGCTCTCAGATGGTAAAAATCGTTTTCTTGCTGGAATCTGGAGAAGTGTACCTAGCCCTCAACTTGCAGTCAGCAGAGGTTATATTAGAATTAGGGTGCCACCTAAACTTACCATCTGTGCAAGCCCAGTGAGTCACTTCAAGTCTCTGAGCTTCAGTTTCCTCATCTGTAAAATGGGCATAATACTCATACTCTCCCTACCTCACAGGTGGTTGTGAGGAAAGCACGGCTGTGTCAATAGATATTGGACCAGTGATTTCAATGAAGCAGGGAAGAGTGGTGGAAAGGTGACTCCCTTTCCTCAGGCAGGTTAGCACCTTCTCAGAAACACACTGGCTGAAAAAGCACCATGAGACTTTCCTAAGGTTGCATGACCAGAATGTGTCCGAGGCAAAATTTGCACCCCAGCCTTCCTAGCTCTGAGGGCAGCTTCCTGCCCATTGCTTCTCCTGGTAGGAATGTGGGTTGTTATTATTATATTTCTATATTATTTATTATATTTTCATGTTCTTATTATATCATATATAATTATTGGTATTAACTGGGTGCCTGGTCTGTGGGGTCATATACTCCACGAGGGCTCGAATCCTATCTCTTGTAGGCTTTTAGCCTCCTTCCTCGTTTGCAAGATAGGGCTACTTGTATACACACTATGTATGTGTATCTGTAGATGTATATGTAGGTATATGGGGCAGCTAGGTGCTGCCTGGAATCAGGAAGACTCATCTCCTTGAGTTCAAATCCCACCTCAGACACTTGACTAGTTGTGTGACCCTGGACAAGTCACTTAACCCTGTTTGCCTCAGTTTCTTCAGCCGTAAAATGAGCTGGAGAAGGAAATGGCAAACCACTCCTGTATCTCTGCCAAGAAAACCCCAAATGGGGTCACGGAGGGTCGCACACGACTGAAACGACTCCACAACAACGTATGTATATGCATAAGTATATATGTATATACTAGTTTGTATACAGTAGTATACATGTATATACTAGTTTGCATATCCACGTATAGTGCGTGGGATGTGTATATGCAGTGTCTATGTAAGGTGTATACGTCTACATACGCATGTATGTAAATGCACAGAAATCCTCATATGCACTAATGCGCACACAAACCTCTCTGTGTCTACATTCGGTTATCAGTATGCGTTGTGCAATGTCTATACACCTATGTCTTTATGTATACGTTTATAATGCACGGATGCGCCCCGGCCAATGGCAGGATGGCGCTACAATGTATCCCGATTGTCGAGGTTGGGGGCCCGCCCCCGCCCCCGCCCCCGCCCGTCCGCAGGAAGCCCTGCAGGTTCCTGCTCCTCTGCGCAGCGCTCCGCTCTCGGCGCAGGCGGCTTAGTCCTCCACCTGCCTTCTCTCCGCCCACGCCGAGCTCAAACCCGCTCCCAACCGCAGCCACCGTCACGCTTACGTCAATGGAGCCGGGCGCGTCCCCGGTGGGTGGATGTGGGCGCCAGTCGTCCGCTTTCCCCCCCTCCCTTCTTCTTCATTCTTTCTTCCCCCCCCCCCGCTCCGTCATGGATCGGTCCACTTCGCTCCCCGCTTCCCCGGGAACGCCGAAGGCTCTTGAATGAAGCAGGCACAGGGAGCGGAAGTGGAAGGAACCATCTGGGAGGCCCTGGGGGTCCCCCGCGCGTTCATTGAAGGGCTCCGCGTCGGAGTGAACATGGTGTTCCATGTGCGTCTTATGTAAAGCGAGCGACAGGCGGCTCAGCCAATGGGCTCGCGGCGCCGGCCGAGGCCCCCGCCCCGCTATGCAGATGAGCCGGGGCTGCCTCCAATGTCGGGGCGCGGGGGGCGGGCCCGGCGCGTGCGGTCACGTTTTCCACTATGTGACAGCCGCCCGGCCTCGTAGCTCTAGCGAGAGGCTGCCGCGTAGCGTTCTGTGGCTCTCCGGCTCAGCCTCCGCCTCCGCCTCCCGCCACTCGGCCCCGGCCCTGGCTCCTGCCCTGGCGCCGGCGAGTTTCCGCGCGTCGTCGGTGTGCTGCTGCCGCCGCCGCCTCCCGGGGAGCCGCGGTGAGTGAGCGCGGGGAGAAGGGCAGAGGGGAGGAGCGGTCCCGGAGGGGGTCCCGGGCGTGGGGGAGGGGACGGAGGGGGGGGGTCTGGCCCGGTGACGTCACCGCTCCGCGAGCTCCCGCCCGGCGAAGCGCTTTGGGGGGGGGGGGCTGGGGACCTGGAGGAGCGCCGTGGGGGCGCTTGGCTCCCCACTCCCCGAAGGGTGGAAGCTCCCGGAGGACAGGCTTTGTTTTGGCTTTGTCTTCAAGCTGGCGGCACACTGCAGGCGCTTAATTCGTGCTTGTTGCCGGATTGACAGATGTGTACCTGTCGCTTCCTCCGTCCCGCAGATTGCAAGCCCCTGGAGGGCAGGCGGTGCGGTCAGTGGCGCCCTGACCTTGGAGTCAGGAAGGTCTGCGTTCGCTTCCCGCCCCAGACAAATCACGACCCTGCGCAAGTCACTGAACCTCGCAGCCTCAGTTTCCTTTTGTGTAAAACGGGGTGAGCCCTAGCTGTGCATCTCAAAGGAGGTGGTGTGGACAAAGCGCTTTGCAGACCCAAAGCGCTCTGTCTAAAGGCCGGCTAGCGTTGTTATCCCAGCACACTCAGAGCTTAACGAGTGCATGCTTAGGGTCACAGGGTGGGTGCTGTGGATCGGAGGACCTGGGTGCAGATCTCACTTCTCTGATGCTTACTACGGATAGTGGCTAAGCCCTGGGTTTGGATCCTGGGTTCGAGTGTGCCCTCCGAGACCCGCTGCACCTGGACGGGTCAGCCTCTTCGAACCTTTCCTCGTCTGTAAATGGGTGTTGCTGATAGGATGAGCTTTCCCAGGCTTGCTGTGAGGATTCGGTGACATGGCATTTGTCTAAAGTGCCTACCAGACGTTCAGGTGGCGTGTGAATGCGCTGTTAGGAGGAGCGCCGCGCTCTAAAGAACCTGTTGGCTCGCTCGCCTCCTCCAGCTTTCTGGAGCCCTGATTTGTCTCGTTTCTTTTATCGAGTCTGGCTCCAGCCGCTAGAACAGCGCCTCTCTGTGGTCAGAAGAAGCACACGCCTGTGCGTGCTTATAAGCAAGCTCCCTCGGCCACGAAGTAGATTTACACGCACCTCTTTTGACGTTATCGAATAGCCTAACAATCCAGATAAGTCACCGAAAATTCATATCATTCTTGTTATTCTACCTAACCACATTTTAAAGAGGAAGGAGCCAAGATCCACGGAGGCCGCATGATTTGCCTTCTCCAGGCCCCTGGAAAATGAGGAGGTGCACTAGTCCCTGGGGTCCCTTCCAGATCTGTACTCTGTGGGTATAGACGACTAACGGGCAGAGACTGTGACTTGCTCAGAGCCACAGGCTTGGTGAAACGGCGAGGCTGGGGAGCAGAGCCCCAGCCGGAAGTCTCTGCTTTCCCCAGCCAGCTGGAAAGGCCAGTGGCAAAAGGAAAATCCAGGATTCCTGGTTTCTGTAACAGAAGCATGTGTTTTTTGGAGACAGGCAAGAGCCAGCTGGTTCAGCCTGGACCAGTTTCCTTAAGGTCCTTCCAGCTGCTGGCCTCAGTTTCCTTCTCTGTAAAATGAGTTGGAGGGAGAAATGGCAAAGCACTCCAGTCTCTCTGCCCAGAATATCCCAAATGGGGCCACAAAGAGTCACACACAGCTGAACAGCAACAAGAAAGTAAACCCGGGTTTGGGAGAAAGGAGGTGGATGCGATTTAGCGCTGCGGCCCCTGATCACTGAGCTGTCTCAGAGAGAGGCTCGGGAGACCCTCTGGCATAAGGAAAGGAGTGCAGGACCTGTTGTAGGCTTGTTTGCTTTGACCCAGAGCTGTATTTGTGGCTGGAAAGTGGGGTGTCCATCTAGGAGCCCCAAACTTTGTGGGTAAAAGAGTGAATTCTGAGTTTAGTTAAGATCTTAAGACAGAATGTTTTTATTTTTTTCGATTATTTATTTATTTTGGGCAATTGGGGTTAAGTGACTTGCCCATGGGCACACAGCTAGTAAGTGTCAAGTGTTTGGTCTGAGGTCGGATTTGAGCTCGGGTCCTCCTGACTTCAGGGCCGGTGCTCTATCCACTGCGCCACCCAGCTGCCCCCAGAATCTTTTCAAACACCAATTTGTGCACCAGAAAGAGTGCCCAGAACAGACAGTCTTGCGGTTCTCTGGATAGGGAGGCGTGGTCATTAACTTTCTGGAGCTCTGTCAGGGCACTGCCGTGGGTGGGTTCCTTTTCTCTCTCTCTTCAGTGGCTAGCACCTCAAACAGCACCTCTTGGTGGTCTGAAAACCCACGGCCAGCGCAGCTTCCCTTGAAACATTTGTGTGACTGCCTCTTTTAAAATCGTTGAGTGACCTAATTTATTAAGTTTAATTAAATTGATGATAAATCAGCTGATAAATAGACTGGTCGACTGATAAATCCTGGCACAATGACCGTTCTTAGAGTGATTTCTTGTTGAACATGACAGAACAGAGTGCTAAGACCAGTAATATTCGCCTCAGTGATCCGGAACTTGCCCATCTAGAAACTTCTCTTCCTTCAAAGGAAGCCTGGGCCCCAGGAAGTGCTTGGAGGAGCTTCCAGAGGAACAGAATGGACTTTGCCAAGGGCAGCGCCCTTGGAGGCAATGCACTCGCTAGAGGTGGTTTCTTGACTCTGAGCTGGTTTATTCTTGACTTACGTGCAGTTTTAACAGGCAGTCTGATTGACTTCTGCCTCTCTCTCCACACGTATTTCATAGTCTTTTTTTTCTTTTTTTTTTATATGAGGCAGTTGGGGTTAAGTGACTTGCCCAGGGTCACACAGCTAGTGAGTATCATATGTCTGATATGCTCATGACTCCAGGGCCGGTACTCTATGCACTGTGCTATCTAGCTGCCCCCGTATTTCATAGTCTTTCGCTTAACATACTCTTCTCTGACCCCAGTATCTCATCTCCTGCCTGCCTGCCTTTACACAGGCTGTCCCTGCTGCCTGTTCAGCCAGGACTCCTCAGTGCTTGCTGCCTGCCTGCGTGAGGGGCAGAGCTGGCACAAGAGCCTCCTTCCGAAGGCGCCCACAGGGCTGGATTCTCTTTGGGGAGGACTCAAGCTGCAGATTTGGAGTTCCCCTCCCCTGGCTTCTCAGAGCACCCCAAGAAATATCCCAGTGGGCAAGAGGGGGCCTCTTACAGATCCAGAATCTTGTTTTGTCCCACCAGCTCTACCTCTCCAGAGGGTCTCATGCACTCCTGGTAGCCTTCTCTCTACTGGTTCTGAAGGTGGCTCTTGCAAAATGTCCCAGAAACCTGAGGGACACCTGGAATGTGCTCTCTCCCTCCCTGGTCCCCTAGGCCTTTCCATATCCTTAGCTTCCTGTAGGCACTGTTCAGTGGCCACCTCTGATGGAGAGGCTTTCAGCATCCTGTAGCAATCAGGCCGTCTTCCTCCTCAAATGGTCTTGTGTGTCTGTATATGTATGTGTATATGTACATGAACACGCATACACATATACCACTTCCTCCTCAGATTATCTTGTGTGTGCATTTATGTTTATATATAAGTGTGCGCATATGTATACACACACACACCATTTCTGCTTTAGGTTATCCTGTGTACATGTATATGCGTGTGCACATGTATACACACAGGAACACATGCACACACCATTTCTTCCTTGCATAATCTTGTGTGTGTATGTCTGTGTGTATACATATGTATATACACATGAATACACAGCACACTGTTCCCACCCTGAATTTTCATGTATGTGTATATATATACACACATGAACACACACATATACCATGCCCTCAGATTATGTTGTGTGTATGTGTATATGTGCGTGTTATGTATACACACATGAACACATGCACACACCATTTCCTTCTTAGGTTATTTTGTATGTATATGTGTGTGTGTCTATATGTGTGTATCCATACACATGAACACGCACACCATTTCTTCCTCAGATTATTTTATGTATGTAAGTGTGTATACGTATATATGTGTATATATGTGTATATATATATATACACACACATGAACACACATGCACACAGTTTCCTCCTCAGGTTATTTTTGTGTCTCTCTGCTGTACATATATATGTGTATACATGTGAATATGCAGCACACGGTTTCCTCCTCAAATTTTCATGCATGTATATATGCATACACACAAGCACATATACATGCCATTTCC